AGTCAGAATGCTCCTTGGAAGCCAAAATGGCCAGACTTCATTTCTCATGCTTCGATCATAATACAGGAGGGACCAGTTCCTAGAGAAAGATATCATATTTGGTAAACTGGAAAGTTGGATAAAAAGAGAAAGACCCCAATGAGAGAGATTGGCACAGTAGAAGCTGCAATGGGCTCAAACACAGCAACATTATGAGGTTGGCACAGGACTGGGCAGTGTTTTGTTAGGTTGTGCATAGGGTCACTATGAGTTGACTTGATGGTACCTAACAACAACAATAATAAAGAAATTAACCGAGTTTTACATCTTTAGACATATGAGTTCTGGTGTGGTGCTGTAGGATAAGCACTGGACTGCAAAATTGGTTTGAACTACAAGGCCGGCAGTTCATATCCACCAATCACTCCTCAGAAACCTTATACAGGGTTGCTATGAGTTGGAACTGACTCGACAGCAATTAACAACAGCAACAGACATATGAAGGGGCTTGGAAAAGTAAATAGAAAAATGGAATGAAAAGATCATTTTTCCACAAACTTTTTGAAGCCCCCTCATATAATTAGGGAGATTTCTTTGAACTACATAACAAACAAAAAACCCCTCAAGATTTCCCAGAGCTGATTTATTTATATAAAAATAAAACTCTAGATAGCAAGATCAATTATTTTAAATGTTTTACATAATAAATTATAATGTTGTCTTTCTATATAATTAGAAACTTTTAAGAAATTTCTACATATTTGTTTATATCAGATTCTCATTTACTTTATATTTGATTACTTTTGAAAATCTTCTTTAGAATTACTTTTTTTCCCCAAATGAAAATTACCATTTTACTTGTTTAGTTGGTTATAGAAATTCATGTGAATACTCCTAAGGCTTTTAGGTCACAGTAAACAAACAAACAAACAAACAAACAAACAATCAAACAGACCCCTGGAAAAGCAGAGCAGCAACAGCAGGAGCAGCAGCAAAAAACATGCAATAAATGTAATAATACATCGCAAAAAATGTTAGCATTTTCTGCAACCACAGACAAAAAGGATAGGAGGTGGGCAGAAGGGGTACACAAAGTGCAAAAATCTCTTACACGTCTGCCTTTGCTAGCTGGAGTACAGGATGAAGAGCGCTTCAACAGAGAGAGAAGAATACTATGTGTTACAAACAGTTACACACATAACACTTTCAATGATTACTGTTAGTAAAGTACATAAACAAACACATTTGTTTCTAAGAAAAATTGTTCAACATGACAGTAAAAAGTAAATCAAAACAAAGATTTAAGGTTGACCATTGGTCCACGCACAAATAACGACTCATGAAATGTGGTGCTGCAGAATAATGCCCTGGACTGCAAGGTCAGTTTGAGCCACAAAGTCAGAGGTTCAAACCTACCAGTTGCTCCTTAAAAACACTATACATGGTTGCTATGAGTTGGAACTGACTACTTAACACAAAAAATAGACAATGTCTTCTGGACAGTTGCAGTGGTAGAGTGAAATATACCAGAGGGGGGGTGTGGGGGGTGGAAAGGAACTAAAATAATTCTCATTCAGTGCTGGCAGGCATTAAGGTACTAGAAATACTAAGAGATTTCAAAATTGACTTCAAAATTTTTAATAGGCTAAAAAAAGTTACTTCAATATTATTCATCCTGACTACATTGTTAAGTGCTATCAAGACATTCTGACTCATAGCAACCATGTGTAGGGTTTCTGAGGATCAGCTGGTAGGTTTGAACCATCGACTTTGCAATTAGCAGTCCAGTACTTATCCTATAGCAACACACCACAACTGTACATTAGGTTTTGTCAAAAGAGGGACCTTCACTTTTCTGAAATTAAAGAATTAAGTAACTAGGAAAAAATAACAATTATCTAAAAATATTTTCAGGTTTTTGAAACTTTGTGTAAACACTAGAGTTTCTCAAACATGAAATATTCCTAGGTAAGTAATTTGTTACATTCAATCTAACCTAATATTTATTGAAAGTTTACATCAAATACTATATAGATATTAAGGATTAGAAGATAAATAAGGTGTCTTTATGAACCTTCAAGCAGTTCACACACTGGTAGTGAATACAACTTACCACCAACAAAGACAAATGTCATAACAGATACACATGTGTGTGTATATGTATGTGTATCTGTATGTGTGTGGGTGTGTGTAGCTCTGTAAGGTTTTATGATTACTCTGGTAGTGTAGAGGTTATGAATTGGGCTGCTACCCTCAGGGTCAGCAGTTTGAAACTACCAGCTGTTCCACGGAAGAAATATGAGGCTTTCTGCTCCTGCAAAGATTTACAGCCTTGGAAACTCTGTACAGGGTTGCTATGAGTCCATGGCACATAACAACAACAACGAGAATTTATAAACTGTGTTTATGATAGTTGTGCATGGTTTCAGAGATGGTTTTTCAAGGCTAAGATTTATTATTGAATATTATCAGTTTCAATTTTACAATAACTCTAGCAGACAGGTAGACAGGGACTATTATTTTTCTCTATAGGAAACTGAAATAAAGGGTGACTTAACACTGTCCTAAAAGAGCTACTAGGAAATAGTCATTAAAGCTAAAGCTTCCAAGTGTAAATCTGGTTATAGTGCTTTAGCTACTTACAGAAAGTACCACTCTCCTTGTCCGAAAGGAAGTTTGTCACCTTACCTCTGTTATCACACCCAGGGCCGATTAAAACTGACACCCCATAAGATGGAATATAAAGCTATTCTGACTCCTATCCTTGCCTGTGTCTTCAATGTCATTTCTAACCAACCTCTGCCTTACTCCCTCTGTTCCCCACTCCCACCCCTAACTATACTCTGAGTACCTAGATGTACCAGACAGCTTCTGATACAGCTCCATTTCTCTTCTGCTGATCACACTCAGGTATGCCATTCAGCTCAGGCATTATTTTAGAATGTGTTTCTGGACCCCTTCTTGTTCAGATGGATCTCTCCCCCTTGTGCTCTCTGATATGTAGCCCATATCTTTTACTATTGTACTTTCTATTTAATATTACAAATACATGTTTATCTATTTGTTTTTTCCATTGAAGGCTGTAAATATATCATGCTTAATACAAAGCCTATATATTAAATTTTTTTTCAATAAATGTTGAGTGAATCATTCTGAACTTCCGTATTTCTTAAGGCACTAATCACTTTATGTATTACATAGTTTACAACTATTTTCTATTAATAAAATAAACATTTGAAGTCTAAGCCTATATCTGGTTAATCTTTGTATCCAACATTGTACATAGTATAGTACTATTGTTAAGTGCCATCAAGTCAGTTCCTATCCATAGCAACCCTGTATAGGGTTCTGGTAGTGTAGTGGTTACGAATTGGGTTTAAAGTCACCAGTTCAACTAGCAGCTGTTCCACCAAAGTAGATAATGGCTTTCTACTACAATAAAGATTTACAGCCTTGAAACCCTGTACAGGATTGCTATGAGTCAGAACCGACTCCATGGTACATCACGAGGAGCAACTGGTGAGCTTGAACCGCCGATTCAAACGGACTTAGCAGTCCAGCACACTAACCCCCTGGCTGCTCTTCGGAATCCTATGTATGAGTAGGAACAGACTCGACAACACTTAACAACATAGTAGTACACATTTAAAAAGTGCTAAAATATTTAACAAAGAAACTTACTTTTTAAGCTACCCTTCTTAACCAGAGTCTGGATTGTTGCTAAGTGCTGTTGAGTCAGTACCAACTCATAGCAACCCTGTATAGAGTTTCTGTGGAGTGGCTGGTGAGCTTGAACCACTGACCTTGTGATTCAAAGTGACCTCGCAGTCCAGCACATTAACCCACAGCACCACACCAGGACTCAGAGCTGGATGGAGGGTGCTAAAATGAAAAAGAGCATGAAAAGTTCAGAGTAAAATGTTACCACTATGGTGTCATGCTGTGGGTTAATGCGCTGGACTGCAAAGTCTGTTTGAACGGTAAGGCCAGCAGTTCAAGCTCACCAGTTGCTCCTTGGAAATCCTATACAGGGTTGCTATGGGTCAGAACTGATTCAACGGCACTTAACAACAACATGAACTCCTAATGTGGCACTGTAGGATCTGTACTGGACTGTGAACCACAAGGTCAGCAGTTCAAACCCAACAGCTGCTCCTCCAAACTCTATACAGAGTCACTCTAAGTCAGAACTGACTTGACAGCACTTAAGAACAACATACTAAAAATGGAGTCTTGGTGTAGCACTGTAGGATAAGCACTAGACAGCAAGGTCGGCTTGAACTGCAAAGTCAGTGGTTTGAACCCACCAGCTTTTCCTTGGAAACCCTGCACAGGTTGCTGAATTGGAACTGACTCGACTGCACTTTATCAAAAACATTTTCAAAATAAGTTGAAATGTTTTAAAAACTAAGTGTTCTTAAAATTATCTCTGAGTATGAAGGACAACATATTTTCTAAGTTGGGGTTGTTAAAAATCTAATAATGGTATGAAATCATCATAGCAATAATATCTTCTTTAAACTTTGGTGTTAAAGTGCTGTTGAGTCAGTTCCCTGTTAACTCATAACGACCCTGGTAAGGGCTTCTGAGAGGCAGCTAGTGAGTTTGAACTGCTGACATTATCCTGTGCATTATCCTGCAGTGCCACACCAGGACTCCTAGAAAGGAGACATTTATTTTTATGTTTTTAATAGATAGGGTGGATTATACTTTTTCTTGATGATGAAATTGGAGAAAGTATTTGTCTTCCCCCTCTCACAAACATACTCTCAAACACCATGATTTTCTAGAAACACTGAAAATGGTATCATACATAGCAAGTATTGAAAGTCATTACTTTAAAATATGTATTTATATCTAGGTCTGTGAACTACCACCAGAATTTTAAGGCTGGAAGGTGGAGGTAAACACACAAACTAAAACCAAAACTTTTATCTTGTTAAGTGCTAATGAATTGGTTCCGACTTCCAGCAACCCTGTATAGGGTTTCCAAGGAGTAGCTGGTAGGTTTGAACTGCCAACCTTGTGATTAGCAGTACAGTGCCTACACTAGTGCCTACACTACAGTGTAACACCAGGACTCTCAAACACATAATTTAACTAATAGTTTTTAAGTTTCAGTTAACAGATTCCAAAGGCCTTTTAAAATAAAATACCAAACAGGCACACGGACTATGCAGTCACAGTTCTTTTCACCTAGATTGCCTAAATATGTTCTGACCCCATGTGTACAACAGAACAAGATGCTGTCCAGTCTTGCACAATCCTAACAATTGTTTTGTTGAACCTATTATTTTTGCAACCATTGAATCCTGGTGTGACACAGTAGGATAAGCACTGCATTGTTAACCTCAAGAAGACTGGAAGTTTAGACCCACCAGCTGCTTCTCAGAAACCCTATACAAGGTCATTATGAGTCGAAACCAACTCAATGGCACATAACAAAATGCCACTCCATTTCACTGATGGCCTTCTTTTTAGCTGGTCCTCCATTTAACCAAGTGTGATGTCTGTATCCAGGGATTGGTCCTTTCTAATAGCATGTCATCTTAGCTTCTAAGGAGCAATCTGACCACACTTCTAAAACAGATTTGTTTCTTCTTCTGCCAGTAAGGTACATTCCATATTCTTTGCTAACAATGTAATTCAAATGCCTCAATTCTTACCCAGTCTTCCTTATTCACTGTCCAACTTTCAGATGATTGAAAATACAATGGGTCATTAGACATACTTTAGTCCTTAAAGTCACATCTTTGCTGATAACACTTTAAAGAGGTCTTTTGCAGATTTGCCCTTTGCAATATGTCCTTTGATTTCTTGACTGCTGCTTCCATTAGAGTTGACTGTAAATCTAATTAAAACGAGGTATTTGACCACGTCAATCTTTTCTCAGTTTATCATGATGATATTTACTGGTCTAGTTGTGAGGATTTTTGTTTTCTTTATATTGAGGTATGATCCATACTGTATGGTCTTTAAGTCCTCCTCACTTCTAGCAAGCAAGGTTGTGTCCTCTGCAGGTTGTTAATAATTATTCCTCCAATCTTAATGCCACGTTCTTTTCATATAGTCTAGTGCCCCGATTTATTGGCTCAGCATATAGACTGACAAAATGTGAAAGGATATAA